GATTGGCTAATAATCACATGTAGATTTACAAATTGATCTACGAAACTAGCCAATCAGACGAATTTCTGCCCATGAGTTAGGTATCGATCTGAGGCACAACACATACACCGTAAAAACAATGTACACACCGGAAACAGGTTTTGTGTTACACGTATACGCGATTTTTTCGGTGTTTACGTGGCTAATTTGATTCTCATGCAACTAAGCCACTAAGCCACCTTCAATTTCCATAATAGAATAAGTAATTAAATACTGTATTTAGATTACTGCTATGAAAATAGAATGGTACTAAAATCATATACATATTTAGAAGCAAATGAAAAAAAAAGTTATTGTATAGAGTTACGTATTAATAATCCCCTTCGTAACACTAAGGAATTTGCAAAATTCAGCACACAGTAAGCGACATTGATCCCCCACATTTCATGTTGCACATTCATATGATCGTACGTACTTATACGTACTGTTTATCGATCAATTTTAAAATTAGAGATCTATCATTTTTGTCATTAAGGTTCATAATTAACTCTAACACAAAAAAGAAAACAAATAAATAAATAAATAAAAAAGCAAAGAACAAACAATGTATTCTAAATTTTGTTATTTTGCTATATTCATCATTCTTATAAATACAAATTTTATTACTAAAACAAATGGAGTAAAAAATAATGGTTTTATTCAACGAGAACTAGATTATGATATTAGTGATACACCAAAGAATATACTTGTCGGATCTACAATTGGCGGTGAGTTTTCTCTAGCATTATTATTTATTATTTTTATTTTTTTAGCATTTCATAATTAAAATTACTAATAATTTAAAATTACTAATCATTTAAAGGAGGAAGTCATCTCAATCCAATGTTGGAAATTTGCAAGATTTTGGTGGATCGTGGATATAACGTATATTATCAAATGAACAAACATTGTTAATATCTATTTATCTCTAATCCGAATCATTATTTTTAATAAAGGTAACATTAGTATCTCCTGGAAACTTTACGGCTACATCTACCTCGTACCGTTCAATTCCACAAATTATTACTGAAAGATCTATTGAACCTGATGAGTCTTCAGAGTTTAAGAAAGTATTTTATGATGAATATACTTTTAAAAGTTGGGTCAATGGAATAAAGCTGGTTGATAGGAGTTATACCAAATACTTTAATGACTATGTGAAAGCTTCTAAAGAAATTAAGCCTGATTTATTTCTTTGCGACTATGATGCAAATGAGGCTTGCTTTGATCTAGCGTGGAAATTAAAAAAGCCTGTCGTTGGAATTACTAGCGGTACTGTGTGTATGTATAATTCACCTTTTTTTTTGTTATAAATACTGCAGTAGTTATTCGCTAACCAGTAGATATTCGTTGTACGTTTTCATATTTCATTATTTTTTTTATTACAGTTTTTACTCCTCCACCTCCCGTTAGATCAGATCCATATATGGGTTGTCATGTAAATATGGAAAATGAATCCTTCTACGATCGGTTTATGTGTGCCATAGTGCAACCACTACGACTTAACTGGCTTGTTCAAGATAATTTAAATTATATCAATGCTAGAAGAGCCGATGTCGGTGTTAGTAAACATCATGACTTTAGAGGAAGAACTAACACTTTATTTTTAATCGATAGTTTCTTTGGATTTGAGGTACAGTAATTTTATTTATTTATCTATTTTTTATATAACTTTAACAAAGTCTATTAACCTAATTATGTTATTTAAAAATTCTATTATCTTCATATTAGGTCCCTACCGCTTGGCCTCCGCTTCATCAAGAAATTGGTCCCATTTTACCTGATATTTTTCCAGATTTATCTCCTGATCTTGAATTATTTCTTTCCAATCACCCTAGAACAATGTATGTGGCTTTTGGAACTTATGTATATACTACTTCTGAAAATTATGCTACTATCTTACAGTCTGCTCTTGAATTAATTAACCGGAATATTATCGATGGTATGATCTGGGCAACTGTAAGATTTAATGAATCAGAATTACCTTCTACCCTTCACCTCTCTACTGGTGATATTATATCCACATCAAATCTTTTAAATAATTTATATCCGCGTATTTATATCACTAAGTTCGCACCTCAGTTTGCAATACTTTCGCATGAAAATACTAAAGTGTTTTTAAGTCATGGTGGTGTAGGTAGTATTCATGAATCTATGTATACTGCTGTTCCAATGTTAGTACTTCCAATAGCGTTCGATCAACTTGGAAATGCTGAAAGACTAGAACGCACGGGTATGGCCTTAGCACTTTCAAAACTTGATTTAAAAGTTGATGATATTATATCAAAGGTTATAAGATTAGTGAATGATGAAAGTTTTAAAATTAATGCAAAGAAAATGCAAGTGATGGCAAAATATAATAGCAAAAGAAAGTATAGGGGTGCAGACTTAATTGAGATTATGATGAATCTAGCAAAGTTCGAAGGTGTTAAAAATGAAAATGGTGAATTAGAGGTAAACTTTGATGCTTTGTTAAGAAATTGGATATCTCCTGAGTCAAGAATGGGATTTTTTAGAGGAACTTATTTAGATGTTTTTGGTGTTGCCGTGATTATTGGTATAGCATTGATTAGTAGTCTTGGTTACGGTTTTTACATGGCTGTTAGGTTCGCTTTCAACAAATTGTCTCTGGGAAATGAAAATCGCCTAAAAGCTAAAAATGAATAGACAAACATTATTTCTTGTTTTTGAATTACAGTCGTTCTCCCATACAATCATACATAGTAAATTTTTTTAAAGATATGTTTGTAAAGGAGGTGTACTTATATGGAGGTTTTTTTCTTATAAATTAAATCACAGTTTGGCCTAAACGTAAAGGTGATTACATGTAATTATATTGAAATGACTATATGGAAGGACGACGTATCAATTTGGATGTCTTTTACATCTAATACTTTGTCTCATTTTTTTAAACTTAATATAAATATAATCAATAAAATTAGTATAATTTTTTCTCATGTTATATGGTAAAAATTATTTATGTTTAAATAGATTTTAAATAAATTTTGAAACATTTATTCTTATAAACTAATTACAATAATGAAATTAAGATTACATTAGCTACCAGCTTGTAAACATAATCACAATAAATATTACATTAATTTTCTAGCATGTTACAACCGTACAAATTTGTTTCATAAAAAAAAAATTAAAATATCATATATTAACACTATAACCGACTCACTAACAGATAAATTAAGGTAAAATGACCTTAGCATAAGTGGCTAATACAAAAGTCCATTCTAAACAAATTATTCGAATCTCACTTAGAAAATATCAAGTTTGTTGAAAATAAAGCATAATAAGGTATATATGTCACATGTCGCTCTATAATATCTCTGGATTTCAAATTAATATGCGTCGTTTCAAAATTTATACCGATTGC